GCGCCGCGGAGAGGGGGCTTGGTGGTGAAGGGGGTACATCGACCCGGGGAACCCCGCGCAGGCCTCCGAACATTGATGTGCATGCCGTTCTGTGTATTCGATCGGCCCGCTCCGCCCGCCCCCCACACGTCAGTCTGCTCCTGCCGCTGGGGGCACTTCTGCTCCCATCCCTCTAGGCAGCGCGCCGCTGCCAGGCGAGTAGACATGGTCGGCAATGCGCGCGCTGGGCAGCAACAGCCTGTGGCCCGCTCCATGCCGATGCTGCCTCTTCCCGTGTCTGGCCCCGCCTGACTAAAACCATCTCGCACCCCCTCTCCCCTACAGTCTCCTTCCTCCCCCACACACCCCCTCTCTCGACTGTTTCCCCTCCACCCTCCTCTTATCTCCTCCATCCCCCCTCTCCCCACCAAGACAACACAAACACAACAACTCGAACGACTTGCGATGGTTACAGGCTACCAGGAGTACCGAACGGTAGTTACGACGTGAATCCGCCTACATAGCCACGGTGTTGAAGCCACGGCCTCCACGCCATGCCAAACTACTGGCCAAAGGGAGCGCGCACGACTCGGGCGTTCGCTTCGCTTCGCCTTCCTCCCTGCTCCTGCGCGGGGCATCGCGGCCAGGGCCTCTGGCACGGACAGCTGCAGCCAACAGCACTCTGGCAACCCCTCGCAGAGCCGCGCGCTGGGCAAGGGAGCAGAAGGGCTCCGACGAGCACCCGGCCGGCAGGAGCAGGTGCGCAAGGACCCGCCAGGTCACCACGCTGCGCGCCCTCGCGAGGCCGCCCTGCGGAAAGGCTGCTCTCCAGCGCAGGCCGTGCCGCGTGAAGCACATCTATGTTTACGCCCCCGCGGGTGACATAGGATGACTGGTTGCTGATATCGCTGTGTGCACTATCGCCGTGTGCACTGTGGGTGTAATATGCCGACTTGAGCTTTCGACGGATGCTTTCGGAGGAAAATTGCCACGACTGGATGAACTGGATTGTCGTCCCATCTGAGACACATCGGCGATCAACCTTTCACCCTCCAATGAGCAGGACTTGGTGTTAAGAAGAAGATGGATCAACCCGCTTCGTGACTTGCCATCGCCGAGCGCATCATGAAGCAACAAGGCTTTAACTCTTTGAATCGCTATGGATGAACACCGTGGCCAAGACCAAGCAATCGCTGCGGCACCACCATCCTACAAACGGCAAGGTGGCCGATGTTCCCAAGTATGTCCTAACACATCTCTCGGGCAATCAGCCTGCACGGCTGTTGGAACCAGCTGCAAATGACTCTGCCTCAGGCACAAGCTGAGCCCCAAGCTCGAAATGGACGCAGCAGGGCATGCGACAGCGACGAACCAACATACGCCTCCCACCTGTTGGAGCACACGCGCACACACAAAAAGAGCGTCGAATCCTTCATCCTCGATCATCTGCTATTCGTCTCCCCTCATTTCACCCCCATCCACGTTCGGCAACGTGAGCATTTTTTTTATTCGGCGTTTCGGCATTGGGCGAAAAGGGGGAGGGGGAGGGTCTGGCTCCGGACCTCTGCCTAGTGCGACTGTTTGAAACAGTGCGTCCATTATGGGGGAGCCTCCACCCGCTCGAGACAGGCGCCCCCAAAACAGCCAATATCTACTCCTTGGGGAAAGGGGGGGCGGCGGGGGCGCGCGCCGATCGGCAAAAGAGCGAATAACAAAACGTTCACAATTCAGAGATGGGGCTCTTCGACATTGGGCCCTGCTGGGCGATGGCGATGGAGACACGGGACGAGCGCCGGAGTCGTGCGCGCTCCGTCAGGGAGCCCGCCCGTGCCCGCTTTAGGGGCATGGCGAGGAGGCCTCGAGCAGTCCGAGCTCGACCCGGATGCCCTCTTCGGGCGGGCGGTAACCCAGACCCCCTCGGTTCATGAGAAAATCACGACGGGAGGTTTTCGCTATGTTCGGCATCTGGGGGCCGGGCTATTACCGGGCCTCGGGAGCGAAACAAAAATGAGTCAGGATGAATAACAGTCCCGGGGGAATGGGTCCAGACCTCTGGGGGTGGCGTCACGAAAAAATCATGACGCCGGGGGTCTGGAAGTGCGGGGTGACCCAAACGGGGGGGTGAAGAGAAAAGGGCCCTGAAGGGGCCCGCTTACAGGGGCCCTTTTGGGCACCAACTGGCTCCAAAAGGGGCCCTAAAGGAGCCCTTTAGGGCCCGGTTCTTCACCCCCCAGTCGGGTCACCCCCCATTGCCACCCGCCCGACCGTTCCGCTCCGTAGGGCCCTGGCCCTCGGAGCCCCGTCTTCGAAGCCCCGACTCTGGCGCCGAGGCTTGCAGTCGCTCGCTCGGAAGTCGCTCCCCCGTGCAGTTGTCGGCGCCGTGCGCATCTTGCGCTTCTCCTGCCGCAGGGTGCTCCTCGATGGTCCTCGCTAAGGACATCATGCACACGTCCGAACGATGCCAAAGAGGGGGAAAAGGAGGAGGAGGAGGAGGAGGAGGAGGAGGAGGAGGAGGAGGAGGAGGAGGAGGAGGGGGGCGCACGCCTCCAGCCCCCGCTGCCCGGCGACAGGAGCAGCTGCCGCGCCGGCGGGACCTGCAGGTTCGCCTGCAGCCGCCTCTGCAACTGAGACGCGCGGGCGTCCACCTCTGGCTGGGCGCGGGACGCATACCCAGACATGATCGGGTCGTAACAAAAATCTGGACGGGAGGTTTGGGCTATTTTCAGCCCCTGGAGGCCCTCGCCAGTCCCCGGGACTGTCCAAGAACGACTCAGGAGGAAAAACCGGTCCAGGGGAAAGGGTCGGGACTTCCAGGGACGCCGTCCTGTAAAAATTAAGACGTCGCATGTCTGGGTGCTGCAGATTCGCGTCGTGTCGACCCCGGCGTTGGTCCCAGACACCGCGGAGATCGTTCAAACTTGAACAATCCGCCTTCTGAAAAGCGCCGAATCGTGCAACAAGGGGCCGGTTCTGTGCCGCGGGAGGCGTTCAACCTTACACGCCCGCGCTGGGGTCGCAACCTGTCGACACGACGCGAAACTACCGCAGCAACTCGCCCTGGCTCAAGGCCATGGAGCCGAAACGAATTGCCAGGCCAAACCACAGAAAACGGCATGCTGGCTGCCCGCTTTCAATCCTCTTCGGGGCTCCAACGGGAGCAGTCGCACTGCCGTTCCGTGGGTAAACATGTTCTTATGCTGTGATATCATTTTTCCCACCCCGACCTGTCGAACATAATGTTTCCTCCTTGACATGCGACGGCCTGGTTTTTGAAGGACTGCCTGAAGTCCCGGCCCGTTCCTCACGACCGGTTTTTCGTCCGAACTTATTTTGGACGGTCGCGATGCTCGGCGACGGCCCCACGGGGCCGAAAATAGCCAAAAACCTCCCGTCCTGACTTTTGTACGACGCGATCGTGTCTGGGCTCGCATCTCTCTCGTCCATCCGCACTTCTCGGCGGGGGGTGCGGCCAAGACGCAAGCCGGAGGACCAGTTCGGGGTTATTATTGGGTCGGGTATGTCCCCCTACAGGCGGATTTTAGGCCGAAAATCAACTACTCCGACGGAAGGACCCCGCATGAGAATATGTTTAGATTGCCCTTACCCTTGTCCTCCTCGCCCTGACGGAAACTCTCCTCTCGCCCGCCGTTTTGCCTTCACCTACTCCCCCTGCCCTCACCTACTCCCCCTCCTTCTATTTATCCTCCTCCCCCTCCTTCTCCACTTCCTCCTCATCATCACCCCCTCCCTACCTCTTCCCCGTCCTCGTCCTTCCCCTGCTTCTTCTCCGCGCGCTCCTCCCCTTCCCCCTGGTCGGGGCAAGCATATGGATTTTCCTCGGCGCCGTCGCCGCCGCGGCCAGAGCGCGCGCATTCCCCGACGGTTGGCTCGCGAAGCTTTTGGGGCAACCCCGCGGGCCGCTGGGGCGCGGGGGCAGGCGGTCGGGACAGCCCCGCGGGCCAAGCCGTTGGGACACCCCCGCGGGCTTCGAGCGGGACGCAACCGCGCTCAGGCGGAGGCAGCATGAACCCAAGCTCTGCGGCGAGCTGCTCGGCCTCATCCCTGGACGTCTCCGCTCTCTTGTCGAACTCCAGGAGCGCCTTCCGCAAGGAAGCCGGCGGTCCGCGCTCCAGAAACTCGCGCGAGGGCGGCCGCAGGATCAGCATGTTCCGAATGCACGTGGCGCGGGAAAGCATGACGTCCGATTCGTTCGTCGATGGGCCCCGATTCGGCCGCCGATGGGTTACCACCGGCGGCCCGGAGACAAGGGGTTACCCCTGCCCCCGATTCGGCCGAGAATGGGTGACCACCCCTGGCCCGGACACAAGGGGCTACCCCTGCGCCTGGCCGCTGTCTCGTCGTCATCGTCGTCAGCTCCTCAGTCGCCCTTTCGGGCACGCAGGCCCATGACAACAACAAATTCGCCGACGACCAACTCAGACGAGGCTACCCGCACTTCGCTCACAGACGAAGCTCCCGCGGGATACTTCCACCGCTTTCTGGCCGCAGGAGCTGAGGAGCCCTTCCCCCGTATTCACGCCGCAGGCGCTGAGGAGCCCAAAAAGTGACGAAAGTCACAGACATCCGATGTCCCGCTCGGATTACCAACATGAAGTGCGGGACCCGTCATGGCGGAGAGTCGCCGCGCAGGCCGCTGGAGGCTTAAGTTTTGGCTCAAAAGTGACAACAGTTACGCGTTTCGGATGACCCGTTCTGATGACCAGCATGCAATGCGGGACCCATAGGGAGGGGGTTCCCGCCTGAAACGGTCTCACAATTCACTCACAGGCGAGGCTCCCGCTTGTTACTTCCCCCGAATTCAAGCCTGAGGAGCCCAAAAGTGACGACAATTACACGTTTCGGATGACCCGCTCTGATTGCCAACATGGAGTGCGGGCCCCACAGGGAGGGGGCTCCCGCCTGAGACTTCCTCACAATTCACTCACAAGCGAGGCTCCCGCTTGATACTTCCTCCCAAGGTCAAGCTTGAGTAGCCCAAAAGTGACGCCAGGTACACGTTT